TGCAATGGGACAAGTGTATCAGTGTTGGTGAAGGATATGTCAAGAAATGTATTTCCATGTTCGAATATCACATATTTTGTTTTATATCCATTTGCGACCTATTTACTGACTCCATATATTCTTTTCTCGTTGCTTGTTTTGTTGAGAACTGTTTGGAGGTTACCTTCCAAATAGCTCTGATATTTTGGATTTGTATGAAATTATTTTCTATACCAGTAGTTCAGAATTGCAAATCTAAAACTTGTAGTGAGTTTGTCCCTCCGTATGTGACCACAAGGTCCACTGTATTTACTGCATGAATCACAAATCTGACTTCTGGCTTTATATGACCTTTCAAAGCATCCAGCACAAGCATTTTTCATTTTCTCAACAAAATGCCTGTTCTATAGAACGTATTAAATACCTACAGAACCAATAATCAGTGTCAAATTAAGGGATGCTTGACTGTGAACTGATGATGCAGTTCATCAGTCATACATCCCTTAGTAGACATTTTGGCCTGTTCCCATTTCAGAATTAACCTGGGAACTATGAATCTTAGTTTGTAGGACTTCTTAGATGGGGGATCAGCCTGCTGCAATATTGCAACGTACACAGGAGAACACAGAACCCAGACATAACATCCATACATCAAGTTGGATTCAAGTTCATGAACCCACTCTTTGAGCAGGTTGCCTTAGACCATTAAAGCACTGTGATTTGACTATCCCTTAGTTTGACCCTTTTAGTCCTCTAGGCAGCTGTATTTTAGGCATATTTTTTCAATTCAAAATCACACATGATGTCAGTATTACAATTAACTTGCATCTTTTCATTGCCCAATGATTTTGTGACATTTTGCACTATCATTGAGGGCGTAATTGGATGGCATATTGTCAGCATTGCCTATTTAGTTTAGTCTGTAAATTATTTGGTTCCCATAGCTGAATCACATCTCTGAAAGGCAGGATCTTTCTCCTTGAAATCTGATGGTAACTTCTTGAAAAATGGAGTTCTTTGCTGTAAAGAGAAACTGTTCCTCAAATCAGTGTACACACCACCCTATACTGTCCTCAAACTTCTTCCTCTCCATTTTTACCATCCTTGTGATTTCATGTGCTTTGAGTATGTCACACCTAATTGGCATTTCATTTTGTCCTTGAGCCCATTCATACAGACATAACAACACGGTCTTCATTTTCATCAGATCTCAGGGTAACAGAATGGTTTCTGCATAGAAATGACATTCTGAAGTTCCTATTCGTCTCCACGTTCAGACTCGAGTCTTTGGAACATTGTATATCCTTGCTGCATTACAGTTATCTGTTTATTCTGCATGCATAAACACCATCAGCTCAAAATCTGTATCATAACTACAGCTGTATTTGATACCATATTTCCCTTCATACCAGTATCTATTTTCTCAACATGATCTGCCATTTTCGTGTCAAGGGACTCTTGCATTAGCATAGTTCATGATATTGTACATCAAGAAATTAGTGCCATTGTTTTGCAACTCTGTTAGTACTTTTGAGTAACTCTGTGGTAGGTCATGGCTTCCAATCCTGAAACATATTTCCTGAATTGCCACTCATAATATGATATAGTGTGAACATTGGCATCAACCCACTAAAAGCTCAAAACAGTTTATGGCAACCCTTAAAATAAGAGAACCTCATCTTCCATTCAGGTAATACACTGTTCACTCCAGTAATCATGCATTTGGTGCATATTCATTCTGCACTAATTGCTGTCAGCATTAAAAACGTATAAAACATTTCATTTTGAATTTTTGTAAAAGCTTTTCATGAAATCCCCCCTAGTTTCAGTTGTTTCATTACTTCCTTTCTCTTGCTTCTTCAGTATGAATGAATGAATATTATGCTAAATTTATTTGATTAGAGTGGTTTCTTTTATGACAAAGCCCTTTTCCAGTCTATCATCCCAGAATGATTCTCTTGTAAGTGTTCCTCTTTAAATTAATACCTTCTCTTTAGGGACCTCAGAGAATTCTTATTGTTGTCCATGCATAAATCATGTCCTTAATTTTACCAGCCTTTTTTCTTGTAGTGTTTTAACTTTCAGTATGTTTATATTTTGATTTAAAATTTTAGTCCTTCTAGCTTATTTCTTAACATTCCACAGCCCCTTGTAATCTATTTATGTCTCTTCGTCCATTACCAAGCTTCTGCTCCACATGTCAAAGTTATCCTTCAGTGTTCTATGTAACTTCAAGCTTTTCTCTAATATCCTCTTGGACTCTTCTATATGATGAAATTTTATTACCAAAATATATATACATCTTTTACCAGCAAAATATCTGCATATAGAGAAATCTACATCTACCTCTGACTAGGGATACATAGCCAGCCACCCTCTGTTTCCATCCTCAGGCAGAAGAAGAACCTGATCTGAAGGGTTCACTTGAAGGAGAGAATTTTAATCATTACAGCTGCTTCAACTTCACAAGTTCTTGGGCCTGCTGTGCCATTATTGCTGACTGCAGGGAATTATGAGGTTGGCGTGGCATCGAAGAGTATAACATTCACAATATCAATCCCATAAATCCATTTTGTTCCTTAAGAAAGGAAAGCAGGCTAAAAATGGCGAGGAAAACAGTTAAGGAATATATCTTTAATATCTTAATAACTGTAGTATGCTTTAACATGTCTCATACAGAATTAGTAATATAATTCTAAAATTACACATTAAGTTAGGCTTTATATGAGCACTGAAACGGCTTTCTCAAAATTTTAACTTAAAAACTGGTAGTAAGGAAATATCAGTTTCTGGTTACCTTAACAGAGGCTTCATCAGCAACATATAAAGCAGGTCTAACAGCTTATGAAGTCATAATACAAAAGTGTTTCTTTCAAATTGCACGTTAAGTTTAATGTGTTAATTTTAAGATTCCACAAAACATAAAACCCCAACTTGTCTCATTTACCTAAGAATGTTTTAAGTCTTTAATTTGCACAGTACATATATTGTAGTATGGCATAATTATGCAAAGATTAAAAAAGTGGGAGGGGATCTCAGAACTTATTGAACAAGTACAGAAAGCTTTAAAAATATATCAAATCCAGTAAGTGTCCATTATACTGATAGACTATTATCAAAGAAAACATCTGACATCTTGACAAGTATTCAACAGTGAACTAAACATCAAATTGAGCTGTCCAAACAATTATACCCCTGTGCCCTGCAAAAATTTACAGTAACTAACTTTTTGCAAAGTACATAAAAAGTTGCATCATCTGTGATATGACGACACGTAAAACAGCAGATCAAGCAGTAAATTCACCTGCCACATAAGTAAACAAACTGTAATACTAATAACTTTGAATACTTATCCCCCTTCCAGAGAAGAACTCAATCTAGAACAGATTCAATAAAGAGTAGTCACTTTGTATTCTTAGACTATACATATAATAAAATATGTATAACAAAGAAATCAACACAAAGAATTGACAAATACTGCACCTAGCCACTACAGAAATATGCAAATGCCAGTTTTCAATGAAGCTCTGCCAGCTCTTGAAGAACTAGACAAAAGATGTGTTCAAGTGCAAATCTGTATTCTCTCACAGCCCAACATGAATTTCACTTTTACTCTTGAAATATATAGCTTATGGGAAATGGTAATTATATACACTTTATCATATGCTACAAGAATTCTAAAAATGTACATTAGCACACAATATATGCTCTCCTGGTAAATAAAAATAGTTAAGTACTGTTGACCCATGGTTAGAAATACTAACTTCACCCTGACAAATTTTAACTTTTACCTGAAAAATGAAACACATTTCTGCATATGAAGTCACAAGGGCACTGTTCTGCACTTAATTTTATTTGCAGTTTCATAAGTCTCATTTAAACAATATACACATGCAAGTTTTATTTGTAAATATTAATTTTACGCAATAAATATACTTCAGTACACATTATAAATATAATGTAGCCAAATTTCATATATTATTATTATAATACAACCATCAACACAACAAATTCATAATAAATAAACCATTATTACATACTAATATTAATTTATTATGTACATTTGCTACATGTTTCAATCCAGCTGAATCATCATCAGGCAATTTCATGAAATTTATTAACTACTACTGATATAAGTATACACAATAACTCGTGCCACCAATATCAACATAAGAAATCTGCCATAAACTACTTAATAGAATGAACACATAACCAACTACTCATGATGAAGATCAAGAATTAAAAACCATTTGAGAAATATTAAAAAGGAATGTTTATCATCAGCCAAATAATACACCAAAAACAGAAACACAAACTTCCTACCAATAATTCACAAGATATAAAAATCAAAATGGGGCACATTCACATACTCGTATCATGGTCCCAATACAAGAACAATCACAAATTTATTCAAGAACACTAACTTAAGAACAGAATTCAAAATGACTAATACGAAACCACCTAAAACCAAGAGAGGGAACAATAGACACACATAACCAGAGTGGAGTATACCAAGTAAAATGAAATGAATGTCCACTCAAATACATTGGACAAACAGAACATACAGTTAAAGTTTGATAAAAACAAACAAAACTCAAAATATGCTTAACATATAGATAGTGTCTGGATGAAAGGTATCCAAAATAAATCTATCTCAGAAAGAATTTATTATACATATTGTCACGTGTTGCGTATGTCACGCAACAAATAACTTTACGTGGGTCTCGGATTTAGCGAATATTTATTGGTCACTCACTCTTACACACCATACAATTATTGTCACTTGCAGTATCACCTGACTTCTGGCCCATTACTCTAATATGACGTCTCAACTATCCTTGGCCGTGGTTGGATCTCAACTGTCTCTGGTGGCGGCTTTTTAAGACTCAACTTCTTGTTGTCTTCTTCTCTCTCTGTAGCTCTTGGCTTATGTAGGTGTTCTGCGGACTGGATACCATACACCATTCCTCACGGTTCCACTGCTACTCTATCAACAGTCTGCTGTTATGCAACAAGTCTTCGGTTGTTCATCTCTGTGGAGATTCAGCGTTCTCTATGCAATGGCTCACTGCTATTGCGTTACCATGGAAGTGTCTATTCCAAACACGTTACATTATTAATGGGTTACACCATTACAAAGGGAAACCATAAAAGTTTTTTCTCCGTATATAACTTTCTCAGTAAATTTAAATGTGGGCTCCCTTGGTGGCATGACAAATATCAAGGCACGTTTGGTGTTATTGTAGCCACAGCGTCCGTTATGTGGGCTTTCAGGCGTTGAAGGCCATTGAGCTTAGCTTGGTAGAAAATGTTCTTCATATAACCCCACAAGAAAAAATCCAGTGGGGTTAAATCTGGTGACCAGGGAGGCGAAGCAATTGGTTCAATTCTGCCAATTCATATCCCATCCATCTCCGTCCAGGCGATTCCTAACATGGTGGAAAAAATGTGGCAGCGTATGCGCGTAAGCTGGGTATGAAAAAAAAAACTTTCAGAGTTTTCCTTTCTGATGACATAAACTGGATATGTGTATGACAATTAGTTTCCGAGATATAAATTTTTGGATACCGTTCATCCGGACACTATACTTGACACAGGACACACATAGGGCACAAGTGATGAAACATTAGAAATACTATATAATGAAAAGAAAGGCCAATCACTAAATACACTTGAATGATTCCATGTATATAATTTAAGAAACAAAGATTACAAATGAATGATACCTTTGTAGATACACACCACCAAATATGCCCCCCTTCCCAATGAACACCACATGACCTATGACACATAACCACCATGACATTAAACAGTAGTTAGTAAAAACAGAACCAAAGAAGGGGAACAACTGCTATCTGTTAGCAAGAAGATGTGGCACCCTGTGCAGGACACAATATACATAATACATTTACCACCATCACTCACAGTACCACAAAAGGAAAATACAACACAGATCACTTGCATATGGAAAGACTCGTAGAAAACCCCTCCATGATATATCACAGACGTGAACTTCATGCTCATATAAACAAAAGACTTTTTAACTTTTAACCGAGTTACAACATTATATTGTAGGATCCTGTTGCACATCAGATGTCAATGGTTCACCATCTGACATGCAACGCATCCTTCTAAAACTTAAGTTTCTTGCATACACGTGTCTTTTAAACCTTATTTAAAAGCTCTTGTACATTGCATTACATGTTTCAACTGTCATTGGTCATCATCAGGTGTTTAGAAATTGCTGGAGGAAACTGCTGTGCCTCTGTTTTGTAATTCTAATATTCAATGTGTAGTCCCATCTACACACCCATGTATTTTATGGTGCTGGGTGTATTCCTATTGTGTGTCTAGACTATGAGTTATAACGTTTTACAGTTTAAGACTATTAAAATATAAAAAAACACAGGAATTGTAAATAAATTTATATTAATGATCACTAATATGGATCCACATTAGAAATACAATTCAATAATGAGTTACTACATTTAATGAAAACTGTCTAATGAAGATCTAGCTGGATCAAATCATGTACAAACTGTACATAATAAATGAACACTGAAATGGAATATTGGTTTATTTATTATGAAATTGTTGTGTTGATGGTTGTATAATACCATATAGTAATATATAGCAGGATGCAAACAATAAAGACAAATTTCTTATGTTATGAATCCCAGTGAACAAAAGTGAAACTGTGTTACAATCTAGCACATTATCATACCACATGTAGCCACCACATTCATTTCAACTTAATATGTTTTCTTTGTGTGGCAACGATTTTTCTTCTGAAATGATTTGTAGGTTATTTAATGATGCTATATCAACTGCAAGGTTATGAAACACTGATCAAGAAAAACTGCATATGGTGAAATGGGAAAAACTGCTGGCACGTTTTAATGATGCGGTATTTGAGGTTGGTTTGACAACTCCTTTAATTTTTTTCAATTCTGCATTTGGGCTTGCACCAATTCTTGTTTGTATTAACTGCAATGATTACTAGGTAAGGCTGAAAAAAATCATAGCTTGTTCAAGAAGTACTGCTGCAGTACTTGCCTGGAGAGATATGGGAACAGCACAAACATTGCATCAGGATGTAGTACACAGTTCCATGGTTGAAAACTGAAACAGGTGTCTCAAAAATTCAAACTTGGAAAAATCCTGCTGAGCCAATCTGCTCATATATTCTATTTCTATGTATTATTATTAAGAATGCAGCAAATGGCTGCATCCTACCAGAGTAGAAGCAAAACAACCATGACAAGCTCAGCTTATTCACTGCCACCAACTCTACTTATAAGATCATCACAAATGGAAGCAAGCTCTTGATTTTCTTTTATTTTCTGTTCTAACATTTCTTCCAGTGAGCTTGCTTTTACTTCTGCTTTCTTCAGCATTGCCTTCAATTTGGCAGTCTCTGCCTGCTGACTACGACGCACAGAATCCAATTCTTGATTTGCACTGTAAAGAAAAAGACATATTGGGATCCCATGCTTCACAGTCTATTTCATGTGACAATTTTGTCTGCGTTTCTTATGCCACTAAATTCAAAGCAAGTGATGAATAAATTATAATTCCCAGCTTATGTTACAGAAGCATAAAAGACAAAAATAGTCTTAACAGTTGAAGCTACAGAAAGATATTTTGCTGTTAATGCTTGGTTTCAACTCAAAAACTGTGCGTTATGTCATGCAATTCCTGTCACTTGGGAAAGCCTGTACCGGTAATTCCAATCACAACTGGGGAAAAACAATGCAACACCTTAGCTAGAATACTGGGAAAACTCGTACAGACCACACCTGTCAAATTTGGGAAAAACTTAATGCCTAAATGTAGCCACTGATAGGATATAGAGAAAAGACTAACTGTACAGCACAATTTCTTCTGTTATGCAAGTTATGTGATAAACAGGCCACAACAAGTTCTCCCTAGATACAAGTGATGCAGAAGCTGGACTGGAAATAGATTCAGGCTGAAACTATACAGCTTTTAGTCTGTAGTTATTAGAGTTGTTCAAATAAAACCTATTTGTGTTACATATATTTAGGATGGATAAAGACATCAAGGCCGTGCAGTTATGCAGTGGTACCAGCAGTGGCTCAGGCAGTTCTTAGCAGAGAAAATCCATCAGCTGGTACATCACTGGGATACCTGCCTCAATGTCAATTGGGACTATTTTAGCAGGCTTTACTCCTTCATCCACATTCATCCCCAGGACTATTTTAACAGGCTTTACTCCTTCATCCACATTCATCCCCAAACAGATTTTAATTGATAACCCAAATATAATACACATTGTTCTAACTGAAGCACTGTTTATCATGTGTTTGGAGCAAAATTTGGTTGTGCCAGTAGCAACAGTCAATACATTTCTGGAAAACTGATGACACAGTTTGAAAAGATATCACACACCTTTCCAACTGAGCCATGGCATGGGATTTCAGCATGTCATACTTCTGCTCCTGCTTGCGAATAGTGGCCTCATACTCTGCTAAACTCGCCCTCAAAACCTCCTCATTCTTTTTGAAATCTTCAATTACAGCTTTACTTCTCTCATATTTTCTGTAAGAGAAAAAGATTAGTCTAGATAAAATACAAGACATTCCCTGTTTACATATGAATTTTAGATCTAAAAATATGAATTCTAATTCTGTCTACATAACTTCAGGAAGTTGCTAAGTTCCACTTGTCAGTTGCTACCTTCTGAGTCACTGGACAGGCTTCATGTGCCACTTGTCCCAGTTTTTCTCAAATTTTCCCATGTAGCAGCATAGTAAATATAGTTCAGTATTTCATGACACACAATGCAAGGTGTTATGGTACAGTTTTGTGCCTATGCATCATGACAGAAAGTTTGTATATGGATGGGGGGGGGGGAAACGTTTATACTACCAAGTGGCTTATAAGAGTGAGGGAACTGGAGGAGTGAACATTTACACTTCTTTAAGATTTCCATACATATATTTTCATATTATATATTACATTTCACATAAGAATTTAACGGATCAACACTATTGTGGAACTAGAAAATAAATTATGAAAATGACCAAAGCAGAAGACTAACACAGAATTTTATTCCTGCTATCCTGTTGCACACTTTCAGGCCTGCAACTCTTTAGTACTTCTGTTGTGTTGAATACTTTCAATATGCAGAATGAAAGAATTCATGCACAACCACTCCACAGTTACTACATAATTCTAACAATAAAATGAGAAGCACCTGGAAGATAATAAATGAAGAAAAAGGTAAAATAAAACGAGATAGAGACATACATTCTACTGTGAAAGATAATAAACTTATAATCAGAATGAAATTGCTCATGTTTTTAATAAATATTTTTTGACTACTGTGGATTCTGTTATAGCAGACACTAATAAATATGCAAGGACAAGTATAACTAATCCAGTTACTTATTTGACAGATGTTTTTAATATACCGTTTTCAAATATGAGTTGGCAACGTGCCACTACTCATGAAATTGAAAAAAATTATAAAAACATTAAAGATGAATTCTTGTGGGTATGATGAGATCTCGAGTATAATAATTAAACTGAGTGCTCCATACGTAATTTCACCATTAACATATATTTGTAATGTTATTTTGAGTACCAGTGTTTTCCCAAATAGATTAAAATATGCTTTGGTTAAGCCTTGTTTTAAAAAAGGAAAAATGTAAGAAATAGCCAATTACAGGCCTATATCATTGCTGATTTCTTTCTCAAAAATTACTGAACACTCATTTTCTCGAGATTAACTGCGCATATTGAAGTGAATGATGTTTTGGCTCCTGAACAATATGGATTTAGCACTCATCTTTCGACTGAGAAGGCAGCCTTCTCACTATTAGACAGTATTCTTACAGCTATGAATGTATTTTGGCTCCTGAACAGTATGGATTTAGCACTCATCTTTCGACTGAGAAGGCAGCCTTCTCACTATTAGACAGTATTCTTACAGCTATGAATGTATTTTGGCTCCTGAACAGTATGGATTTAGGACTCCTCTTTTGACTGAGAAGGCAGCCTTCTCACTATTAGACAGTATTCTTACAGCTATGAATGTATTTTGGCTCCTGAACAGTATGGATTATGACTCATCTTTCAACTGAGAAGGCAGCCTTCTCTCTATTAGACAGTATTCTTACAGCTATGAATAATACCGGGTGTTCCTAAAAGAATGGTGGGGTTTCATTGCCGTATATCTCCGTCAGTTTTTGGTGAAGAAAAGCAAAACGTATACGGACTCATAACGCAGCTCTTAAATTTTCATTTTGTATATCGCGCTCTTTCCTAGTTCCATTTCCGACAGTTAGGAGGCGTGAAATGTAAGATGGCGACCCAGCAGGAGAAGGCCTATTGTGTGCTGAAATTTGAGGTGTCTAAATCCATTGTTACAGTGCACCGTGAATTTCGTGTACGTTTTCAGAAGGAGGCGCCACATGAAAACAACATTCGCAGATGGTACCGGCAGTTTGTGGACAGTGGATGTCTCTGTAAAGGCAAGAGTTCTGGGTGGCCATGTGTGCCACATGCAGACGTGGAAAGAGTGAGAAGCCCAAGAAAATCATTACGTAGAGGAAGCAGAGAACTGCAAATGCCAACGACGTTGTGGAGGGTGCTGCGTAAACGGATATTAATGAAACCGTACAAGTTGCAGCTGTTGCAAGCTCTGAAACCACAAGACAAGGTAGTCAGAACTCATTTCGCTGAGGACATTCAAGAGAAGATGGAAGACGATGGTTTCCCAGAATGTCTCGTTTTCAGTGATGAAGCCACTTTTCATCTGAGTGGGATAGTTAACCGACACAACTTACATATCTGGGGGACACAAAATCCACATGCACAGATTGAGCAAGAGCGCGATTCTCTGAAAATTAACGTCTTCTGTGCTGTCTCTCAACAAAAAGTGTACAGGCCTTTTTTCTTTGCTGAAGCAACAGTGACTTGTAACACCTATCAAGGCATGCTGGAAAATTGGTTGTTTCCACAACTGGCCAATGATTCCTTCCAATGACTACATCTTCCAACAGGATGGTGCTCCCCCACATTTCCATAGCATTGTGAGAGGTTTGCTTAATCTGGTCCTTCCGCAACGATGGATTGGACGTGCTGCAGGTGAAGATGCCCCCTTCTCCGGTGGCCACCCCAATCCCTGGACATACCTCATGTGATTTCTTCTTGTGGGGGTATGTGAAGGACATGGTTTATGCACCCCCATCGCCCCAATTGCTCCAAGATCTCCAAAATAGAATCAATCGTACTGTAGAGACCATCACACCTGAAATACTGCAGCGGGTGTGGCAGGAATTCGACTATCGCATTGATGGGTGCGGGGTAACGAAAGGTGCGCACACAGATGCACTTTGATGGATGTACATAAAATTTGGACAGTTAAGCTTCCGATTGACACGTTATGACTGTACATGGTAAGAAATATGAAATATATACGTATCTAAAACCCCACCATTCTTTTAGGAACACCCTGTATTTTGGCTCCTGAACAGTATGAATTTAGGATCCATCTTTCGACTGAGAAGGCAGCATTCTCACTATTAGACAGTATTCTTACAGCTAGGAATAATATTTTGGCTCCTGAACAGTATGGATTTATGGCTCATCTTTCAACTGAGACGGCAGCCTTCTCACTATTAGACAATATTCTTACAGCTATGAATAATAAACAGACTGTGGGAGGTGTTTTCTGTGATTTGCAAAAGGCTTTTGATTGTGTCAATCATGAAATATTATTGGATAAACTCAAATTTTATGGAACAGGAGGTACTTTCAAAAAATTAATTAAATCATACTTAACTGGTAGACATCAAAGAGTTGTGCTGGGCAATGCAAATAATAGCAATAATCAAACATGGAGTTCCACAGAGCTCAATTCTTGGACCTCTGCTGTTCCTATTTTATATTAATGATTTACCCACACTAATAAATAAAGATAATAATATGGTATTGTATGCTGATGACAATAGTATTATAGTTGCTGATTCAAATAATTCAAGTTTTGAAACAAACGTTAATCAAACCTTCAAAGATATAAATGTTTGGTTTAATGCCAATTTGCTTACTTTGAATTTCAGTAAAACTCAATATTTGGCTTTTCGATCTACGAAACATTGTAACATTGTTACACATATTAATTATGATCTGACAGTTATCCGCAGTGTATCGGAAACTAAATTTCTTGGTTTGATTATTGATGATATGCTGTCTTGGAATCAGCATATAGATATGGTCGCCAATAAAATTTCCTCTCCATGTTTTGCACTTAGAAATATAAAATATATAGTATCATTTGAAACTTTAAAGCTAATTTATTTTGTAAGATCTGAGGCTAATTCTAATTTATTTTGCTCATGTACACTCTATTATGAGTTATGGGATAATCTTCTGGGGTGGGTCCTCTTATGCTAAGGTGTCTATTTTGCAAGAGAATCATTAGAAATATAACGAATGCTAAAACAAGAGATTCATGTAGGGAAATTTATATGACATTGGAAATTATGACATTATACTCCCAGTATATATACGATGGGGTACCCAAAAGAAACCGAACTAATTTTTTTGTGGGCAGAGCTTTTGTAGTACCACGTTTTGCAGCTATGAGCGCATAGAGCTAACATTCCTGAGTCGATAAGCCGACTACCGTTGCTTCAGAAGGTAAGAACTAGTTTCGGCAGAGTTTATAGTGACAACTGTTTTGTGTGATCATCGTTTTTGCAATGGCTGATTTTCGTGAACAGCGTGCGGCGGTGAAATTCTGCTTTTTGCTTGGGAAAAGTGGAACAGAAACTCTTGAAATGTTAAAAACGGCATACAAGGATGATGCCATGGGGAAAACTCAAGTGTTTGAGTGGTTTTCCCATTTCAAAAATGGTGAAATGTCAATTGATAACAAACCTCTTTCTGGTCGTCCTTCCACGGTCCGAACACATGAGAATGTTGAAAAAATTTGTGATATCATCAAGGAAGATCGATGATGGACCATTGAAGTAATTGTGGAGCTGTCGGGAGTGACTTGGAGCTCAGTTCAGCGAATTTTGACAGAAGATTTGGGAATGAAAAGGGTGGCTGCGAAATTCGTGCCACGACTGCTGACTGCTGAACAAAAACAAGGTCGCGTGGAAGCATGCTGTGCTTTGAAAGAAGAGTCCCGACTTTTTTTTTGTTTCCACGAATGAAAAGAGACATGAAAGGAAAGCATTTTGCTGATGTTGCTGAGGTGAAGGAAAAAACGATGGAGGCGCTGTCAAGCATCTCAAAAGATGAATTTAGACAATGTTTTGAAAAATGGAATAAAAGACTAGACAAGTGTATTAGTGTAAGTGGAGAGTACTTTGAAGGGGATTGAAGGTTTGTGCTTAAAATTTGAATAAATAAGTTAAAAAAAAAATAAGTTCGGTTTCTTTTGGGTACCCCCTCGTATATTTGTACAATATTTTTGACTTGCTTTTAACAAGGAATCACACTATGAAGAACTTGCACATGAATTTAGTTTCAACCTATACATTTAATTTCTCCATAACACAGTGTTTTCAGTGTTTAAAAGCAAATTATATGTCTGGAAGAAACTTACTTGTGTAGGTCAGAAAATGCTATTTCTATGTTAGCAAGATGGCCCATTGCAGCATCCCGGTCTTTGAGGAGCTCTGCCTTGTCCAGTTCATGTGCCTGCCGCTCTTGCTCCTTGTCTGCAACAAGTCTTGATATTGTCTTCTCATATTCCTCCATGATAATGCTGAATATAAAAAAACACCTGATTAAAATCTGAAGTGCTGTCAGTACTATAATTTCATATTTTTATAATGTATGGACAATTAATATCTGACATTACAGAGAACACATTAATACACTGTAATGCCGAGAAAAATATGTTTAAAATGTTCTCATAAGGGGGCAATTTAAATTAAAACAAAAAAATGCCTGTATTGCTTTATAGCAGGCAGGTCCAACGCGTTGATCATGGGACAATTTTTGGTCGATCTCATAGGTCTATAAGGATATATGTGAAAAGCGTGTAAATTCACTTGTAATATAAAATGATTATATTCAGATTTTGAAGGGAAAATACATATTAAAGTAGTCTGTACTTTCAATGTATGTTGCTTTTACAACAAACATCACATGTCGTGTTATTTTTACCAATACTTTTGCTTAGAGAGGTACAACGATAGGAGAGGGTGCTAGATCACTGGTAGTTTTGACACTAAAAAGTCGATCACAACCTGTTTGAAGTTGGACATGCCTGCCTTATAGTATTCGTTTCTCAGTATACATCTTCCTGCGATTCACTCAAGGTCATGATACTATCATTAAAAAATTGTTTTGGTGGTTCATGCAATCAGTTTCACACCATACAGTCCATTTTCTCTTCAGCACAAAAATGGATTCTGAGAAGACTCACTTCTAAGGTTCTCAAGAGATGAGTCACTCAGCACAAAGTATGGTGAGTAAGTATTTCTACTGATGGTACGGCTGTTAACTATGAGGTTGTTGTAAAATAAATTTTGGTTTTCAACCTTGAAGTTAGCCCAGAATAAACTTTATTAATCAAAATAAAACCCATCAGAATTGACACTTTTGCCAATGAGAAAAGGGTTTCATTATCCCCCTTTGATAGAAATCTGAAGTCCTGGAGCCAACAGATTCATTCAAGGCACTCTCTGCTTCCAGTTGAGTTTTGAAGATTTTATTCTGCAAGAAGTAGTCCAGGTGCTTGAAGAAGTGGTAATCAATTGGGGACAGTTCTGATGAGTAAGGTGGATAAGGCAGGGTTTCACGCCTTAATTGGTTCAGTTTCTAGAATATCCATTGTCAAACGTGTGGTCTGGCACCATCATGAAGCAAGACTTGTCCTTTTCGAGTGACCACTGCTGGCTGTTTTTTTGCATAACTTTCAGTGCATCGTTTCAATTTCTCAACAGTACTTCTCTGCAGTAACAGTCTCCCCTGGATTCAGAAAGTGGAGGTGGATAACACCAGATGCAGACCACCAAACAGTGACCATTAACCTTCTTTTGATACAACTTTGGCTTTGGGAAGTGCTTCAGCGCTTCATTATAATGATGTCATTGTGAAGATCAATGGCGGTTGTTGTCTAAGGTCCACTTTTCATTGCACATCACAGTTCAATTGAGAAACTTTTTTTCCCCTTTTACACATGATCAATGCAGACCACACTTCATAATGGTGATCTGTTTCATTTTCATTTAATTCATGTGGAACCCACCTGTTGAGCTTTTTCATTTTTCTGATTTGACTCAAGTGTCAGGAAATTGCTGCAGGGTCAAGATCAAGATTCTGCGCCACCTCTCAGACAGTCTGACATGGGTTAGTTTCCACTATGGCCCTCAATTGATCACAGCAATGACAGGGAGACATCCCCGACCCTCTTCATCTTCAAGACTCAGATCACCACTACAGAACATCTTAAACCAAAGTTGAACTGTATGTCTGTTAACTATTTCTTCACCAAATATGTCACTGAGATTTCTTGCAGTTTGCGCTGCGATTCATCCAAGTTGGAACTCATACAAGTAAATTATAAAAATGTATTTCTTCTTTGCTTCCTCCTGGCAGTCCAAATGCTAGGAAAATATATAATAAAATATAATCGTTATACAGTTAAATAGAGCGAGATCTGCTGTTCAAAGTTATATATAATATGGACCCAGTTTGATAACCATTCATTTTGCAGCAAGCTTTAAATTTTCAAGAAACAAAATCAAAATTTATTTTGCAATAACTCAGTATCACCCAAGATGTATTAGATACGAGTCTTCATGATGCAATTTTCACAGTAACCAAAGGTAAAAGCCAATTATTGGCTAAGAAACAGACCTATATCTTATAGAAAGCAACAGGTAACTAATCATCCCATGAAATATAAATTAACTGAACATTTTGTTTCATTTAATATTTAATATAACATTTAAGGGGTTGGTGGATAATTACATACCTCATAATTTGTTACAGTACCCCATCCACATGCTGTAATACAGTAGCAGTACCTCCCTCCCCCACTGATAGTTCACACTCTAGACAGCAACACTGGTAACTTATTATTAATTCGGTGAAAAAACAAAAGAAAGCAATTGCCACTGACTGTACTGGTATCATGAAGAAAAATAACGTCATGGCTGAATTTACAGGTTTTCAGAAAGTGATGTATCTATAGAAAATTAAATTTTTAATAGATGTAAGAAACGATTACTTCTGCAAAATGGAGTTAAACACATCAGAAAGACTCTCAAAAAAGTAATAGTAAAAGTACAGTTTAAGAATACTACCAATATATTTGTATATACATATCACAGTCTGTTTACACCATCATCCACATACATTCTGCCATCTGGTGAAAGAAGTATTCACCCAGTAAGTTTCAATTTCCCACCACTGTATATCATATGGGAAGTGCAGTTTCTGCAATACAACTTTTAAGTGAGAATCTAATGAAAGCTGGAGAGTCTCTCATTAAAGTCAAATGCTGATAAAACTGGTTATGGTAACACACATACTTATATACATACAATTGCCAGGTCAATATTATAGCATATTAACACAACCTTTGTAAAACTTTTGTTATTAAGTAATGATTACAGAGCATGTTAAATATTAATTAAATAGAAATTTATACATAGGAAGACTCATGAGGTCAGGTGGCAGGAAGCTTTGGTTAATTATTAACAATACAGCATTTTGCAAATCATCACAAGTGTTCAGAAGACCACTGCTGGTTGCTGAATGTACAGAAGTGTCTAGAAACATAAAACTTTTTAAATTTCCTTGGGAGTGTACTATAAGCAGGTTTCTGTACTTCTGATCCTATCATGAAAGCATCAAGAAGTTATTTTACATAGTCAAATCATGACTTAGTACACAATACTCTTTCAGGAGACTGAACAAACAGCCCCTTTCATACTAACTTCATGGTTCTCCATAGATCTTTGCAGCTTGGTGTTGAAGAAGACACTGCTCTACCTCACTCCCATCAGTTTCAATTATCATAAATAGTTCATTCCAGAATACATGTACAGGCCAACAGAGTGCACATAAAGGAAAACCTAAATATCTGGAACAAGCCTTGTAGTTTAGTACAGGCATTCATTACATGCAAGACTGAAAAATGTGATCAACTAATTTAGACTGATTTCAATTAACAGCATTCACTGTGTAATGTGAAATATTTGCTGGCTGATCAAGGGAGGCTGAAGGAGGGAGGAGGAGAGTTCTCTGTGGGAGGCAGGGAGGAATGTAAGGGGAAAGGGGGAAGTTTGGCTCAGCTGGGCATCTACTTTTGCATGAGAAATGAGGGGCTAGGAAAGAAATAAAGTATAATCTTTTCAAGAAGTCATGGACAGCAGCTCCACCAAACACCTCTAGTGAATATACGATATAACTCCGTCCTAAGTGCAAACTATATTTATAGGTCTTTCATTTTGTTCTTCTTTATACACTGCATGTTTCGGCCCCAAACGGCCATCATCAGGTGTATACACTCATGTATCTGTTACACTGCACTTATTTATAACATTTAAAATTTAAAAACATATGTCTTCTTGATTAGCACTTATAAAATCTTCAGTTCTAATTTTAAATAATTTAAAAAAATTTTCTCTAAGTTGTAAAATTTAAAAATGTCAGGGTTACTCGCCCTATGTCTATAGTGCTGCAGTGGATTCTTCTTGTTTCTAGTACTGTATAGGTGTTATTCTGTGTAGTCTCCTTGTGTGTGTGCTGCTGCTATCTTTACTACAGCCATTTGGGGCTGAAACATGTAGTGTATAAAGAATAACAAAACGATAGACCTATAAATACAGTTTGCACTTAGGACAGAGTTATATCATATGTCGTATAAAGTGCAACAGGATGCTTAAATATAATATTGTAAACCTCTAGTGAAATTTTACAATCAATTTCAATGGTCACAGACTCAAAAGTCAATAATGATAATTTTTTCAACCACTACAACCCCCTTCTCTACGATTGTAATCACCTGCTTCATCACTGTTTTCAACTGTCTGCCCATAAACTCAATAAGTCATTCATCAGATCATCCACTCGTCCATTTAGACACCCATCTACCACAAAATCTGGGTTAATTTTTATTAGTAGTATAAAATTAGAATATACATAACTATAATTTTGCTTGTGGTTCTGTATGGGCGTGAAACTTCGTCTCTGACATTAAGGGAGGAACATAGACCGAGGGTGTTGAGGAGAATATTTGGACCGAAGAGAGATGAAGTGACAGGAAGTTGGAGAAAACTGCATAATGAGGAGCTTCATAACTTGAACTCTTCTCCAAGTATAATTAGAATGATCAATTCAAGGAGGATGAGGTGGGCAGGGCATGTAACACAAACGGGGGAGACGAGGAATGTGTATAGGATATTGGTGGGAATGCCAGAAGGAAAGAGACCACTGGGAAGACCAAGGCATAGGTGGGTGGACAATATTAAAATGGATCTTAGAGAGATAGGGTGGGTTGGTGTGGATTGGATTGATCTGGCTCAGGATAGGGACCAGTGGAGGGCTCTTGTGAACATGGTAATGAACCTTTGGGTTCCACAAAATGCTGGGAAATTCTTGAGTAGCTGCAGAATTGGCAGCTCCTCCAGAAGGGCTCAGCTCCATGAGTAAGTAAGTAAGTATAAAATGATTGTCACCTAAATATTACTAAAGAATATTTAAACTGCATCTTCTTAATATGTTTAGTAATGTTTAAGGGAGATAGAGAGAGACTGTCTGAGGACAAATGGGCAAGTGATTCTGGTTCAGGGGTGCACATTTTCTGTGCACGTTTCAAGGACATGTTAGCCAACCCATTTCTTGGCAATGTCTAGGGACTGTTTTATGGTATAGAGTCAACTAAAGTGGTACCTCGTTTGCTTTTGTGCCTGAGCCTTCTCAACCATTTTCTCGTTCAGTTTAGTCTCACGTTCTTCACTCTCTTTGACCAAAGACTGCAAATTTTCCACATGACCTCGGCAGGTTACAATTTCCCGTTCTAGCTGAGCCATCCTTTCTTTGTACTTCTCGTCTTGTGTTGCACACAATTTCCGCAACAGATACAATTCTTCCATTATAGTTTCATTGGTTCTAATCACTGTCCCTGAACAGCTGTCAGCTGCCACCTGTAATCAGTTATCATTATTATAAAATTCTACAATTCCAAAAGGATTGCTCAATAATGTATTATAACAATTTGAAATAACAGTTGTAAACTCACAATCTAAAAACAACAGGGATGAACTCTTCTACAAATTTGTATTTAGGCTGTTATGATAAATGCCACTTCCATTCTGCCAACATTTATGGAATTTGAGATGGTTAAAGAAATTTGTACAGGACCTCTGAGATAAAACTTTTAATAAAAATTAGTTAATACAGTTTTCAAAGTTACAAAACAAAACAGCAAAAAATTCCTTCTGTTAAATTATTTCGAAAACTGTTAACACTTGCAGAAAAGGTGTATTGGATAAAAAACACGTTTTATTTTTCTCTGCAAATTCTATTCAAGCCTTTTTCACTTTAAGAAATATTTAGTGATTTGCATATGAGATGCATGCAAAAATACACATAGGTGTTCATGGAAATTATTATTGCAGCCTGACTGCAAGTAAGATTGGAATTTCTCTACAAGTCCCAGTATATTCCTCAATATAAAATACAATGAAAACTTGTCTTTTGCACTATCCAAGTTATTACAGATTGAGAGAGAGACACAGCAAAGCAAATAAGTGCTTTTTTGCAACTGTTCATTCTAGAACATTCCCAAAATTGGTTTTAAATGAGTTATACATGTTAGCAAGACAAATACCTATGTCATATAAGGCACGAGGCAACCCTGAGAAACATGACAAAATTGAATTCTGCGGCAATGAATGCTTATAGATACTGGAAGCATACATCTTTACCCCCCCTTTTGTTTTTTCAGTTTTCAACATGTTACACTTTTATAACCTGGTTAAGACATTTAATGTAAAACATTTCATATGAAAAATTACATAAAGTGAACTAAAATTAGTCTGTGCACTTTGAACAAAAGCACATATGACTAGCTAAACTTTATTATTTACAGCATAACTTCGAACTACAAACTTCTTACTTATTCTCTAACGCTAGATAAATACAAATGCAACAAAGGAATTATTGGAATTACATGCAAATGAGTTAAAAAATTGTTTCCAACAATTTTATGAGTGGGTACAATGACACCTCAAGGAGATTATCCTGAAGAATAGCAAAATATATGTTTGAGTTTAAACGTGGTTTTCTTAAAATTTTTGCAGTCCTGGAACTAAACTGCTGAACCACCTAGGACCACAACGAACCTCTTTAGAACAGACAGTGTTTGAGGCAGAGATTTTACAGCTTAACCTTTAAGTGACGGCCCTTTAAATTCCGGTAACGGCAGCGGGACGGATTTGATTTAAACACCAGCAATTTTAAAGCAATAAAAACTGTAATCATTTCCTAAAATTGCTGTGATTTCTACAATTTTTGTGATAAACGAACCAAATAAACGCTGTTTTTTTCTAGAAAGAATATAGAATCAGATATTGTAATTTAGAGACTTTATAAAATGTGTAAAAATTTTTAGACAGATTCCAAGTATAAAATTCCCAAATTTGTCGTCTGCCTACAAGAATTCATATAGTTCTTGGAAGCAAGAACGCTGTATGTAAAAGTGGCAACACAGCGGATGGTTATGAAGATGTTTATGTTTAGTCTTGCATGTCTCGAAGCATATACACGTACCTTCTTTGGAATGCAGAGATGTGGGCCTGTATATCTCCGTTTATAAGAACGTTGATTGTTTATACACAACAATTTCTCTGTACTGACCAGGCTCGGTTAGTTTATCACAACTCTCAAGGCCAAGCACAGCCAAGCAGTGTCATAGAGCTTCAAAGTTTCGCAGCGAGAACAGTGATATTGTCAGCTCACCATGGCGTCGTTTCGTTTGGAAGATTCAGACATTTTTCAACTCATAAATGACTCCGAATCAGATTGTTTTACCGACAATTCTGAGAGTGGCGTTGAGGAAAGTGATTCAGAAATGGATTTCGACGAAGACCCATCATCTTGGTCGGCAATCTGGGGACCACCACACCAGCATGGCAAGAGGAGTGTGAATAATTATTCAGGTGGAGCTGTGGGCAAACTGTGGCAAACAGTTATAGCATCTGTCGTCGAACCTGGAAATGGACAAATAAACTATTTTTCCATCTCCTGGATCTGAACAGTTACATCCTGTTGTCACACAGAGAATTTCGTCTCGCTCTTGTGCGGAACATGCTGGAAGGGGTCCACCTCGCCATCAACGGCCCAGGGGTCGAACCCCTGCCGTTTTATCGGAGATATCTCGATTATAGGAGGCCAAACCACATCACTGGCCGACTTCCTCTACTTCGCAATTGAGGTGTCGTGTGTGCTTTTCGCGTGGGAAACGAAGAACCGTCTAGACAAAGTGCGTGAAGTGCGACGTCGGACCCTGGATTTCCGGATGTTTCCAAGATTTCCACACGAAGCCAACTTCCATTAGACGCAGGTGGGAAGAGAGACAACTTATAAAGCTGGTGACCAAAAATCATATAAATAGAAAAAGAATTTATAACTTAAAATTAGATTTTAAAAAGCTGGCCGCACGCGTGGAATGCGCGGCGACATATGGCGTCATTCGTCCCCTTGACTTTATTTTCATGACGCCATATGGTGTCGCTCGGCTCTTAAAGGTTAAAAGAGGTGAAAGGTGGCTGCAAAGTACATTTAATTTCCTTGTCCAAGATTCTCTAAGAAGATTGTGTAGATACCTGTCTATCTGATGCTGGAACAGACTCCTTTACAGGTGAGATGACAGGCTGTTCGGTGGGTGATATCTGGCATGACTTCAAAGGTGATGGACTGAGTGAGATCAATTTATCAATGACTGAGAGAGCAGGATTCTTGACAGGCGTTGTATTTCCAGACTGATGCTCCTCCCCAGAACTTGTAGCTGCAGGCACGGAGCTGAAATGTAAGCACTGTTGATTGCTTATGACACGTGAACATGTTTATAACTTTTCTTGCACTTCTAGCCAATATACATAATTTACTCTCAATATATGCTATAATGTAATCAAGTACTTTATTATGAATTATATAAAACTAATTAATGAAATCAAAACTGTCAGTAGTTTATTTAATGTAGCTCCAGTTACTCAAGACTGTATGGAATCATATGATTGGATGACAATGAATGTGATTGGTAGGATGTGAAAGGACAGGGTTATAAGCCTACTATCCTGGCATGACAAAAAAAAATCAGGTAATTGGTGTCTGATCACGATTCAATCTTGGCACAACCCAAATGCAAGATGAAGCATTACCACTACAGCCAACTGTCCACCAGTTCCAGTTAAGTGGGTATTAAATGTATGACATCAAAAACCTTAATACATGACACCTGACTTACACAGCGGCTATCCATGTGGAAGAAAAATGTTATCTTCAGTACTCAAAAAATGCATCTGTTGGTGCCACTTAATCTCACCATACAGCAGTTAAGTTATTAATAAACCAAAATAATTTATCACCTTCGGGTTACAGTCTGGTAGAAATTCAAAGGTGTTTCACAGGAAAGCACTGCCCATATCTTAGGGTTGAAGAATTAGCCAAGCAAGTAACAAGGAAGCAGGTGGCAAGCAGAGCAAACCATGTGCAGAAAATCAGGATCTCCATATGGGCTAGGAGGGAACTTCAAGAGAGGCAATGGGACCACACCCATTGTCTGTATGGAGCCCAAAAGGAATCAACAGCAAAACAAGAGAGTAAAATTTGAGGTTTTCACGGCGGTAACTAAGAAGAATGCCGTCTTTTGCATCCACCTGCTCACACTGGTTCCTCACTCGCATATTTTTATACCCTGAAGATGGAGGTGATACATTCCTCGGAAGCGTTAGTTCACACAATAACTACAGGGCACCACATCCCAGAAGACAGCATTCTTCAAAAGAGTAGTAACTCTGTGACTCTGAAAAGGGATGGTCTGTTACTTCAGGAAATGGGAACAAGTGGGAGAGATGTCAGAAATATGTGTGAGCAGCGGTAAGAAGAAGAAAGAGGCCGTGAACAGGAGAGTCAAGGTAAGTTCAGGAAGGTGGGAACCATTGTAATGGTTGATTCCAAGCTCTGACAAAGAAGTGCAAACAAGCCTAATGGCCTGGAGCAGAGCCTCATCATGAGAATCCTACAGAGGACGCCTCCTACATTCTCTCAGGGAGTGCATGAGAGCCTTCCATGACTTTGACAGAAGCCATCCTTCCAGTTCATGATGTAGGGATAAAGCTACATCTCAGCCACCTTCCTCATGATTTAGTCCATGTACCTGGTTTTGGTGAGGAGTATACTGATGTGGTGTCCCAGGTTGATGTGTGACCTGCCACAGCTTACCTGTCTTCATAGTAAAGGTGGATATACTGGTGGTGCTCCATAACTCTTGGTGTCAATCAAATGGCTAGTCTGACCTTTGCAGACCTGACAATACTCACAGGGGAGGATGTACACTCCACGTATCTTCAGTCCTCTTGTCATGCTTGGCCAGCAGATGAAAGTTGGAGATATTTGCTGGGGGGGGGGAAGGATTCTGGAGGGTACAACCTTCCCTGCCAGCCTACCTAGGGCAGGAAGGCTGTTCAACTTACACCATGATTAAGGAGTACCATCAGCACAACCATCATGACCTCCCAGACAATTCAGATGTTGCAGTGCACAGCATCAACTTGGGACACCACATTGAGCTCTAAGACACCAACATGCTCTCCACCAAATTCAGAAATGTAGCAGGGAGGAAAATGAGCATCATCCCAACAACATGAACAGGGTGCATGGCTTGTCATAGTCATGAAAACTACTACTCCCTGTAAGAACACTGGAGGCCTCCTTCATCGAATTCTCATTCTGGGGTCATACTCTGAGCCGTTAGGTACATTTATACTACTCTCTTCTGGATACCCATCTTCCTGGACTTTCCTTCCAGCCTTCTCCTCTACTTGCTAGAGCTATGTGACTATTCCAGAAGGTTTGTTTTTCTGTTCGTTAGCCCGTTGTTTTGCTATGTCTGCAATCTGCAATATGCCCCTTGCTTGTGTGTTGTTCTCTCTAGCAGCGTGTGGTGTTGTCAAACCTTCTGGAATAGTCACACAGCTCTATAAAAGTGGACAATGCCCCTTATGAGCTGGAATAGGATTTTACAAAAAATTTTAATGGATTTTAATTAATTATTTTTATGTTATTTTTAAGTGGACTGCAATGCGCAGTTTTATCGCACATCAGAGCAGTGTAACAGTTTGGATGCATTAAGACACCTGGAGATGGCCATCTATGGCCAAAACATGTTGTGTTTAAAATGTTAAATAAACAATTGTTGCATTATTGATGGACTGTGGATACAGAGACATTTAATTAAAGATTTGTAACAGGATGCTGAAATACAGAATTAGTTCCTGGTTTTCCAGACACACTTGCTCTGCTTCCAGCCGGCTTCTTCCTCATTCCTCCCTTGACTTAATGTTGTATTTCAGCATACTGCTATAACTTCGCCGACAAGCGGCCATCGCTCAATCAGTACAGTTCGCTTGCGGACTAAAACCATGGAGTTTGGTATCCATGTACACAGACACAGTCTTCAGTGCAGCTTTCTGTGTAGTTCCTGCATTAACCACTCTTATTTCATGTCCTTCCTCTAGTACCACGAAACATATTTTGGTCTCACAGATGTGTACCTTGTTGCATGTAAACTGTTACAATGCACACCAATTTCTTTCTTTACTACTTGCATAAAGTAATTATTTTTATTGTGCTCAAATTAAAAAAAAAATATATATGAAATTAAAAGGTTGTGCACTCTGGTCTCTCTTAATGTTGCATATTTGTTTGTTGATGGTGTGCGCTTGAATACATCTTGGTACCTGCAGTTGTCTCCTCTCCCATGTGGACTGACTTCTTTGTTGACCCTAAAAATGGAGGAAGCATGTTCCTCTCAATCAATGGTGAACTTCTAGCAAGTCATATGTTACATCCCAAAAGACAGTACTTGTTATACTCACATATTTGAGAACTTTAAAAACTATAGTAAAGGACTACAGGATAAAAATTTCAAAGCGAATGTTAATGTGGCCTTTGAAAGTTTATTTTGCTCAACTTCAGTTTGTGGTATATTCTGTTAAACACATACAACTATTTAGTACTAATATTTTCATTGCATTTCTTTACGTCCTCACTTCTTGAGATTTTTGCTCTCCCATATATGAATATTACAGCACAATCGTTGCAAGCAAATCAAATGAAATCAGAACACTTACTTAACAGCAGTGCTTAGCTCCAATCTCACATTAACGTTTATTCATATCTGGTACCAGTAATTTACCTTTTTGTTTCTACTGAAGGAGGCAGAGGTAATGACTTATCAGTAGTCCTGCAGACTCCTCCCACTAGTGGATCAAATTTCACATACAGAGATTCCTTACGTAAATCTGATGCTACATGAGAACTGCCCACTGAGCTCAAATACTCAAAAGCTGCAGGGTCCTGAAACACTGAAAACCATACAAACTGCCTAATTTATGCAAAATTCAAGCTTAGTACTGACATAATATTGACATGACTAAAGACTATATTTGCAACTTCATGGTACAAGAATATACATAGTGAGATTGTAAAATTGCACAACCCCATTAGGAAGATAAAAATAAATAGCCTAAAAGTAGTTCAAAGAATCAGAAATATATTGTAACGTGTTTCGTTATTGAAGACGCCGTTTGGATTGTTAATTGGTTTATTTAACAACCTACCAGTCTCGGCTACAATTAATTACAACACAGTTGCAGGGTTTCACACTTTATAGCCCTATTCGCAATAATCTGTTCACACTGTTGCGGGGTTTCACATTTTATAACCCCATTTGCAATAATCTCTTCACTCTATCTTCAGTAGGCTACACGTATTAATTACTATACAGGAGCTATGTAAGTGTCCCTGTATCACACACTCACTGTCTTCGGCGGCTGCTATATTTCACAGCGCCACTCCTTAACACACACTAACTCGTTCACTGCTGACTGGAGAACTGTCTTCGGCCATTGCTACACTTTAACTGACAACAACAACTGAACTTGGCGACAGCCACATTTCAACTCAACTCGCAGGCAGTGCAGCTCTCTTATATAGTGGCAGTGTTTGCCTGTTGCGTAGCAATGCGGTTGGAAGTTGTTTATGGGTACGTAGCAATTGTGGCGTTGCGCGTTACGTCACCGCGGAGGAAGGGGGACGGAGCGCTGACTCATCCGTCACGTCACTGTGGCCAGAGTTGCCAGGTCACTGCTGGGTAGGGAGGGGTTGTCCTCCATTGCGCAACATGTCACTATATATATACATATATATATATACTGCCAGCTGTGAGTTTGGAAGCTAAGGTTTAAGGAACTTCTTTTCACAAATACAATGTGTTTACTGTTGAAAACTAACACTGTGCCCTTACTTAGCCTGCCACTGTGGGAATTTCATAATTCTTCTGTGCCAGAAAACCAATAATGGTTATTCAATACAATGTTTCTGTCATACAGGTAGTGTACATAACAAAAATTATTCTGACTGTCCTTTCATGTTCAGAGAGGAATCTGTGAAAACATCCATAAAAGACTTCCAAGAAAATGTGACAAGCAAATTGGATTGTAATATAGAATGTACATACAAAAATAAACTGCATGTGGCAAGAATGACTCTGTGTACAGTATGGGGGTGTATACAGGTGAACACCAAACAGAGAATGAATATATTCTAGCATTCAATGTCATAACAAGACTGCCTGAACCAATCAAAACCATGTAATATATAGTGTACACGGACCAATTCTTTCCAAGCCCAAAAATTTCTGATCACTTGCGGCTTGCGAATACAAAGACAGTAGGGTGAGTCATGTCAAATCATAAAACACCTAGAGCACTAGTTTCAGAGAGAAAAAAAATGAGAAGAGGTGATGACTCAAAGAGGTCAACTCCTTGCAATCAGATGGTGTGATGTTTATTTACTAACCACAGCCCATGATGACTGAATAGTTGAAACACCAAAATTAAGCAGAACCCATGAAAAGACAAAACTAAATACACCTGCCAGCTACCATGCACGCGCGAACACACACACACACACATAGATATATCTTTATAAAACACTGAAGTGGTGGAAGATATTGCTTTTCCACCTTGCACTCGTAAATGCTCACATTTTGTACTAAAAGTGTCTACAGAAACTTGGACTCCATAAGTTCATGGATAAAAAAATGGCAGAAGGGGTTGTTGCCAAAGCAAGGACAGAACTGACAGAACAATCACAGAAAAGTTCTCTGGGCAGAATTGTGGACAGAGATCAATTTGCCAACAGGATTTCCACAACAAGCACAAAATAAAAAGGAAAATGCCTGCACATTGTAAAGTCTGAGTGGATGCAGGGAAATACCACACAGACAAGTCACTTGGAAGTACACCACAATCCACTGCTAAAAGTTACTGGAGCAGGGCTCTATGTAGGGGATTGTTTTGAGATTTATCATACTAAAGTGAATTACTTGGAGTAGCATTTCATATCAAATATTGTTACAACACTTGGATGTCTGAAGCTGCAATCATTTAATTGTTGAACAATTGTATATAATATATGCATACATAATTAATGTGTACCAATGAGAACCCTGAACAATGTTACTTCATATACCAGCAGTAAAAATGTTTCCACCTCACTGTACAAGAAGTTTTTATCTTGACCTGGAGACCAGTACAGAATCCTTTACTGGTCCATAAAGGTCTCCTGACAGAAGACAGAATGATGTAAGTTACAACTTACCATCTCTACTGTACAACTGTGTATCTGCAATCTCAGGTCCTGCTTCACTCTGATTCACCTCTGGGTTGACTGAACTCTTGGGTGAGCTCTCCTGGCACAGAAATGACTGTACAGTTTCATGTAATGTTAGCATAGTACTACTGACTTATTAAAAAGGACTGTAGACAAATAGGGTGCAAGGACATGGACTGGATTCATCCAACCAGTGGAAAGTTCCTGCAAATATGATGACGAACATCATAACAGGAGGGGATTTCTCTACTAGTAGGGTGACAATCACCTTCTAGAAAACAGCTGTTTCAGGGAATGAGTTTGTTGAAAAAGTGTAATAAATATGAAGTACTATCTGAGAGTTCCCAGACTAGGTCAAAAATGCTAGTTTAACTCACTCAATTTTGGCTGCCACCTCATTAAAACAGTCTCCTTGGGAACATACACAGTGATTCTATCGTTTCCCCATGCTTCAAAATCAGTGTGGAAGTCATTTTCCTTAATGCTGTCAAGTACTGCTTGTGATTCCCTTTGGATGTCAGCCACTGCTTCAAAAACATCACTTCAGTTTCATTTTCAATTTGGGAAACAAAGCGAAATCACAGGGGGCTAAGTCCAGCGAGGAGGAAGGATGGGGAACGATAAACATGCTGTTGTTAGTCACAAACTGTGTGGTTTTCAGGGGCGTGTGGATGGGTGCATTGTCGTGAAGGAACCAGTTGTGGCTGCAAGGAAGTCCCGGTCTTTTTCGTTGCACATTTTCTCTCACAAGTCCCAAAACGTCACAGTACGAGTAAAATTCTGAGTTGACAGTAATGTTAGGAGGAATAAATTCATGATGGACAATCCCCTTCACATTGGAAAAAAAAATGAGCATCCTCATTGTGGAACTCCAGACCTCCCGCCACTTTTCTTCTCTTGGCGATTGTGGGCTCTTCCACTGTGGCGATTGTTGCTTTGATTCTGGATCATAACTGTACAAGTAAATCTAACTTTCATCATGTGTTATGATCCTAGTGATAAAAGTTGGGTCCCTGTTAGCCTTCTCCCGTAGCTCAAGACACATGTTTACGCACCACTGCTTTTGATCATTTGTCAGGAGTTGGGGAACAAGTATCGCGGCAATGCAGTGCATGTTCAAATTTTCTATTAAGACCTGGCAAACTCCATAACTGAACCCAGTGGTGTCTGTGAGCTCATGGATTGTTCGGTGACAATCTTCGTCAATGAGTTATCAATTTTTTCAACATTTTCTGCCAATTTGCTGGTGCTTGCTCACCCTGAACGTTCATCATCTTCAACTGACACTCGACCAGCCTTGAAACATGAATGCCATTCAAAAACAGCTGTCCAGCTTCTCCAAAAGCTTCACAAAGCATTTCAGGGGGTTTGGTAGCAGATTTACCTAGCTTCACGCAAAACTTGATGCAGACATGTTGCTCAATTTTGCCATGACAAAATGGAACAGTTGAAAATCACTTGTGTAAAAACAATGCATGTTCACACTGCGGTGTCACGTGGCAGACTAATGCTACAGACTTGCTGAAGTGTGACCTTAACCTCCCCACTCATCTTCTTTCAATGAGGCAGTTACGACAACAACAACAGTCGAGAACTTTCTGATAGCACCTCATATGTATACATAAGTAAATTGCTTTCCTATAACATCAGATCAAACTTCACAGTAAAACAATATGTAATATTTACATCAAAAGGACAGTGACAAAGCTTACTGTTGCACATCTTTAGGTTTCATTAATTCTCTCATGATATATTATAAAGCATTTATGTCTGATGACTGAAATAGAACCAGATTCCTAAATAAATAGAGGTAATATAATTTCAAAACATTTTTCAAATCGAGTTGAGTTATAGTCCATGTTTCAGATTTTAAGGGGGTTCTTTCCCCCCCTTTTTTTTTCTTTTTCTTTTCCTTATGTTCTAATATGAATATCTGTTCAGTACTATTCCTGAAATTTTATAAATATAGCTTACCCATACTAACAGTAATTCTCAAAACTGTGCAATATCTATAAAATTTCTTATTTACCTTGTTACAGGAAGTTCTGTGATCTGGGCTGTTTTTCCCTGAGCAGGTACTTGGAGAAGCACCTCCTGATACATGGTTACATGGAGAACCGCCTTTCACTGCATTTATGGATGACATCTTTGACTTTGTGCATTGTGACTCACAAGGACTGGGAACTGAGCTTGATGATCTTGGAGAAGTTTTACAGTATGGTGGTGGAGACCGATGCAAGGATGCCTGACAGACAAAGGGACCGACACTGGTCTCATCCACGGCAGCTGTACTACTGGACACTCTTTGTGCATCTGCCATCACCTTGGTAATATTCAGCAAATTAGTTTGTTGAGTACTGTTTAAATGTCTATTGTCACTTTCTGTTAAAGCTGTTTCATAACATTCAGAAGATGAGTTCATAATCTCTTGCAATATACTTTCAGCTTCATCAGCTATTGTTTGATCAAATTCTTCGAATTCACCTGCAGCTGGCTGATCAAAGACACTTTCTTTTAATTTGGAGGGAACAGGGCTATGAGGAACATGAAATTCAACCTTCTCACTCAAATTTCCTGGCTTGGACGGAGAACTAAAAAATTCTGTACCATCAACAAACTTTTCACTGTCTAGTTCTAGGTCTTTCTGCTGGCGGTTACAGATTTCAAAGAGCTCATTCAAAACAGTAGGTGTCTCCTTAACAACCTTTTGTAACTGTTCTGTCTCAACTGGCAATTTCCATTCTCCAGCTTCAATGTGCGCAAAAGTGGCAGGGATAGGTGCAACAATAAGATCTGAAATGTCTGGCACTTCAGCAGATGTAAGAGCGATTCCAGCTTCTGGCTCAGACTTGTTATGAACTGCAGAATCAGTAAATTGTGAAACTGCTTCCTTTTCAACAATCAAATCTTCATGTGATGTAGAAGTCCATGTAGAATCTAAGTCTTGTAATGATTTACCTCTGAGACAATTCTCAGTTTCTTCAACAGAATCTGTTACATTTGTAGACAACAAAGGTTCTTCAACATCAAACGCAATGCCGATGGGGGTCGTGGATTTGGCAGGAGCCGAGTTAATGTCTTCAGCTTCAGTGAGACAAATTTTCTCTACAATATCAGACTTTCTGAAGCCTTTGGTAACATCTACTACATGATTTTCTTGTGCCTCATTAATAGTAACTATACACTGACATACCTGAATGTTTTCCGTATTATGTATATCAGATTCCTTTGAGACTGCTTTCTCACTATATTCTACTACAAATGGGATCTCGTCCTGAATTTCATTACTTTCAGCGACAGCTTGATGAATGTCAGCGTGATTATGTTCTATAACAGTCTTACTGACTTCCGCTTCTACATTCCTGTCAATCTTAACAGTTCTTGTTGTGTTGGCACCGTTTTCAACTAAAGCTGGAAGGTTATCTTCTACTGAAAAAGCCCCAGAATCAAATGTCTTAGCAGCTTCAAATAAAACAGGAAATTTCTGAGGGCTTTCAACTCCATCAGCTTTGTTAGTTGTTTCTAAGTTCTTTAAGACTCCCAGACCAGATTCTTCACTGTTTTCAGGAAAAAATGTGGAATCACCACATGAAGTACGTGAAAAAACTTCAAGCTGATTAGTAACCTGTGTACATTTCCCAGACCCAATTATATCAATTTTACTAACTGGGATTGAAATGTCAGAGCTTGAATTTGAATTGTATACCGAGTCCTTATTATCAAACGATAAATTGCCCTTTTCTGTTCTTCTTGGACTATCCAAGCATAAATTACCAATACACAAACATAAACCACTAATATCAAGAGCTTTCACTTTGAGTTCACCAGCTGAAGTTTTGACTGCTGTATCACCCGCATCTTCATATGCTTCTGACAGAGAAGAGGATTCACTACCTCGTGACACAGAGTTATCAGTTGTGACTGTTTTGTATTCAAATGTCTTTTCAAATTCAGATGATATAATGCTGCTCTCAATGCTTTCAGCTTTGTTACTGGCAGCTGGCTCAACAGGACTTCCAGCAGCTGCACTTTCTGTCACTTTCCCTTTTTCATCTAAAGCCCCTTGGAAGCCTGAGAGGAGATCCCTGGCAATAAGGCTCCCAACAGGAGACCCTGCATCAAGGGGATCAATCTCTGCAGCACTCTCGTATTCAGTTGTGTCTGTATCTGAAAGATAAAGCATAATAGATCATTGAAGGTCACAGTGCAGGGGACTGTTTTTATGGACCATGCCTTATATATATCTGAAAGATAAATCTACTTTAATATTGGTACCACTGAAAGCAACAATATTTTGTCAATAAGCTGTACTTAAATATTGGAACTCCTCATTTATTTTGCAATGTCAAGAATATAATCTTCAGTGATGAATGTTCATTCTATCTATTGCAAGCACCCCGTGGTGGTCACTTATGCATTGCATGTTTTGCCAAACAATGGAACTGTGTCATAGGTCACTTTTGCGTCACATAACCTGGTATGGCCATTTTACAACTATGCCAGAGATGAGAAATTGAAAACGATGTGAGCATTTACATACTACACAAGGAAAGAAATAATAATAGGTTTATATAACTTACAACAGCAATATATTAATTTAACCAAGAATGTAAATAAGTATTCACACACAAACCCACACATATAACTAAAGTGGAAAGATGATTACTTACAGCATCCACAAATGTCCTTTACATTCAACATTTCTTAACCCTTCTGAATCAGTCCTCTGTAGAGGGATAAACTTGGAGGAGGCCCTCAGTTAATTCTTATAAATTGTGAAAATACTTTACTCATGAATATGAAACCTGGCAACACTGTGTACTTTGCAACGGTGACCCAGTCCCTGCCTTCCTAGTTCATGCCACATGTTCCAGTCTGTGATTCTGTGTGTCATGAAATGGAATAATGCATATGATATATAGATACCCTATGGACTCAACATGAGGAGGTCTGCCTGCAATAACTTGTAACAGAGTTAGGAAAGGAACCAACTGCAACATCTACTGTAATCCACTTGTATACACATCTTCCAAGATAAATACTCAACAAGTTTCTTTTCATCAGTAAATTACTGCAAGATTTATAATTATTAATTCAGGACCTTGTCCATCTTTTGTAACCAATTATTTCAACAACTACCAAGATACATATTCCGCAAGTTTAAATTTCATCAGTAAATTATTGAATGATTTATAATCATTAATTCAGGGCCTCCTCTGAGTGAACCACCCTGTATAAAAACATACATACATGACATAAAAATAGTTCACTCATTCAGACTTAAAGTATGGAAGATACATATTTTATGTTTATATTTAACGAGATCAGTATGTATGTTCATTATCTGGTCTTTAGTAATGTCACCACAAATTGGATGGTATGCTGAAATAAATATTTTTCACACAGTTTCAGAAAGATACAGATGGGAGGATGCTACGGGAAGGGGGGGGGGGGTGAAGAATGAAGTACATTTTGATGAAAGACTTCGCTGAAATGGCAAACTTTCTATTAGTAGACCGTTCAGGCTTTAATATCAGGGAGTTAGTTAAATCAGTTATGGCAGTCTCCTACAAAAACGGATCTGGAGATAACAGTCATGAAAGAGGGCCATGATGCTACTTACTTTCCCACTTCAAGTACAGAACACTTAATAAATGAAGCTGTGCCTTTAAATTTAGAAGTATAATATGTGAAGATAACTGTGAAATTCCTGACATTTGAAAGTGTTTCGGCTGCCTATAAAAGTAATAAAAAAGTAAAGCTATCCCTGTAACTGTCTGTAGAGGCCCATAGGGTTGTGAGACGTTGAGGGTCGCACATTATCTAGGCAATTGGCTCAAAGATGGCGGTAAGGTTGTCAGCCTCATGCGCTGGCCGTGCTTTACTCCCCAGTATAATTATTTAATTAATCCATGGTACTCATTTCTGTTAGAGGCTGAGTTGACCCCAGGGCCATAGTGCAGCTCAAAGGATTAGGTCAATTGAAAAAAAAACAATCTAATGACCTCATCGGGACTTGAACCTGTGACCTTCTGGCTTGTAGCATAGTGTCCCAACCAACTACGCTACTGCTACTAACAAAATTTAAATGTCTAAGAACACGCTAAGAAATCATACAATAGGGCCACTAAAATTTATTCAACAAGGTACAATAACACTTGGTGCACAAATAATCAAGATTTTTAATGGCAACCTGATTAACAACCCACCATATTCAGAAACTATTTAATCCAAAATCATTTCAAACCTGTATCTGTTTGTTTCTTGTAGACAAATTCTGGCTGTAACAAATCAGGTAAAGAAGTACTTCCTGCAACACTGATGCCACTTTGCAGACTGCCTTCAGATGGTGTCACAGATTTCACAGAAACAACATCCTCTTCTTCCAAATGTTTAGTCAGAGCTGCCTTTTCACTGCAGAAGGAAACTGATGCATTAGTACCAAACAGACCCCTACAGCCAAATAAATTACATACATGTGTGCAAAGAGCCCAAAAGCACAGTTTGCTTCCTCTTTCCTGAAATACTGACAAAAAAAAAAAATTCATAGAAAGGAAAATGCTGAAATGTTTCAAAAGGCCAGTGAATTTCTGGCTGCTTATTCATTGTATTTGGCCAAATGATGCATTATATACAGTGATGCACACATGATCTTTGATCAGAACCCTGCTGTGAAGTTGTTTCGATTAGATTGTGTATTTCATTATAAAAGTGCAGTATTTTGTGAAACATCTGCTTCAATAATCACTCTTAATTAGGTAGAACTGTTATTATTGCAAAATCAAAGTAATCTGACCGCAAAGCCCTGGTTACACTGAAGCAGCTACTCGCAACATGCTGCATGGTGCATGCTGTTGCATGTTTCATTTTGCTGAATGAGGACACATACAATGTTCAATATGCTGCATGCCTCAAAACTGTTTACATGTAAGCATCACACTCTTGTTTTATTTAGTAAAGAGTTAGGTTCTGACATATCAGTAACAATAAAACTGCTCTTCCTACATATTTGGTGATTCCAAATGCACCAAAGATGACTCACTCGCTCACATATTAAGCTGAGCCCTTCTTGAGAAGCTACTCAAGAACTTCCCAGCAAGGATGTTAACATGAGAAAGTGACAATGCTTCAAGGGCAATAATGATTAATCTATGAAGCTTCAGATACAGTTCCCTTAACTACAACATTTTTTATTTATTATAGATTAACATGGCAGAAAATTGTAACTGCTAAATAAATTTTGGTGGAAGCCTCCCACACTGAATTTTGAATTTGTGAAACAGTTTATGGGATACACAGAAATGTCAATTTATGGGCTTCTGTAAACCAAGCTTTATTATTGGTCAATATGGCTGAGATATAGTATTGCCTGACAATTTTCGTGGAACTCTCTTATACTGAATTTTAAGAAAACCAGTCCTGTAGTGTAGGTGCTAATACTAAGTCACAGACTATTGAAAGACACAGCCTCCATATAAAACGCTATTTGTTTGCAAGAAAACGGCTATTAGTTAAATCTGTCCAACATAGCTGACTTCCAAGGATCTCGAGTTTATAGCAAGGCTCTTGCCACCCCCCAACAAATTTTTGAAGCACGCAGTGAATGATTTCGAAATTGTGCTCTATTCCTTATGATATGACATGAACAATTAAGTAAACGGGGAAAATTAATAATGTTTAATGTAACTTATTTTCCACAATGAAATGGGCAATGAAAATGGCCGTCGATAAGACAATAAGTCAACGCACGCAGCCACAAGAGGACACATCACAAGACGCAGTATACGCAAAATATACGAAGAACGACTCCCATAGTGGAAGACTGATATAATACGCGAGTTTGAAATATGACGTATAAGATGATAAATCTTAACAAAATTTTAATATATAAATTTTATTATAGTATATGACGAATATACATTCTAAATAATTTTATAAACGACACATGATGGCGAGCAGTGCAATAGTTTAACGTAAATAACACACCTGAGGATGGCACAGTGATGCCGAAACATGTAGTGAAGTGACAAGTGAGATTGTGTGCACTAGAAGATGGTCAATACATACACATCATGGAAATAAGTTTTCCACTTGTGGTAACATATTGTGACGTGGGTGGCGCAACAGAGAGTAGGGGTCACTTGAACTCTGCGGTCTCGCGAGTGACGTCACATACCCCCACTCCTTCCATCATTACGCAACGCTCAGTAAAGACACCCTCCCCGCGGTGACATAACAGGGGACACCACGGTTACTACGCAGCAATAAACAACTCTCGGCAACGTTCCCCAGCAACGCCTGTAAACAGGGCGTTTACGCAACAGCGAAGCGATGTGGGTTTTCCGCTGTCCGATTGAGGGTTTATAAGGGAGACTGGAATGTGTAACGAGAGCGCTGGAATATTAAAATTAATGAAGATAAGACTCAGGGGGTCTACTTCTCTTGTGGTCGTCGACCGCCTGAGTCTAGTCTCACTCTAAATGGACGAAATATTTAATCTGTAAATAGTACAAAATATCTAGGTGTAATCTTCGATAAGAGTTACATGGAGATTGCACATAGAAATGATCGAAGCCAAGGCCTTCAGAACATTCATTAGAGTATATTCCCTATTCAAAAGTGAGCGATTGAGCGCTGACATTAAAATGACCCTCCACAAAACTCTTATTAGATCCGTAATGACTTCTGCTAGTCCCGCCTGGGAGTTTGCGGCAGACACTCCTCTAGTGAAATTGCAGCGCCTACAAAACAAGGTTCTCCGCACTACTGGCAATTTTCCAAGGCGCACACCGGTCCGCGATTTGCACATGGCATTCAAAATCCCGTACGTATATGACTATATAACAAAATTATGCAGGAAACAAGCAGAAGTCATAAAAAATCATGAAAATGATAATGTTCGCAACATCCGATAAGGCGAAGCCCGACACAGAAAGTACAAGAGGCTTAAACTTGGCGGCGGTCAGGCATACTACCGTTCAAGTGACTAGACTGCCGTGGTAGCGAATACTACAAGAAATAGGGCGTAATCTGCTGTACTGAGCCTTGTATATATTGTACACAAAATTAGGAATTAAGATCAAATTTGTAAATATATGTAAATACTGACAACGGACTTACAAATATGGACTATGATTGACAAATGACAGACCCCACCTCTCGTCAGAGAGGGCACCCCAAATGGAGAGGACAGTAGCTTCGATATAAGGAAAAAAAAATCTGGTCATGAGCCCCGGCCAGGGCTCGACACCAAGACAGACAGACTGACTGACCGTCAGTCGCAATGTGACTTGGACTTGGGACGAACGAGAGAGTTAAAATGCAGCAGTCGCCGAGTCGCGTTGTATCGAATGCATGGCAGGGACTCCAGCGGAGAAGTAATTGTGATACTGCCGATGGCAGTAATAGTGAAACTGTAAATTGTGTAAATGTAAGCGCGAGTGTACAATAAATTTTCAATATCCAATACGGCGTGAAGTTATATGTCGCGTTACACACCCAACACGTGACAATATATAAAATTTGCAGACTGGCACACATTAAATAGCAGCCTGCTTGTAAGGGGCCACAAACAATTACGCTGCCACGCTTTATGAAGATCAATATGGCCGAAAAACGAAACGCTTCGACAACGTCTGGCGAGAGTTTCCTACATTAACGTTTAAGAAAACCTGTCGAATAATGTGGGCGCTGACACTAAGTCGATCGGTTGGTCTGACAGGCAGGCAAGCAGGACTCCCACTTAAGGCTTCTTTATTACTCCGTCAACAATGTCTATAAACTATAAAACCGAGGAAAAGCGCCTGTGTTGGCGGCCGAACATGCCAGTTTCATTCCAACATTTAATTTTGATTCAGGGACATTTACACGGGGGNGAAAATTACTAACACAGCAACAGTAACTTCCACACACTACCTGCAGAAAGGGCTGCGAGAGAAATCACATGGGTCCACTCGGCACGGCGGCCACTGAGTGGCCTATTGTACCTGCCCCGGGTATTTATGATGATGGAGAATTTGGTGGAATGAAGATTGTCAGGGGAAACCTAAGTACTGGGAGAAAACCTTCCCCAGCGCCACTTTGTCCACCACAAATCCCACTTGACCAGACCCGGGATCGAACCCGGGCCGCCACGGTGGGAAGCCAGCGACTAACCGCTTGAGCTATGGCGCGGCCCTTGCAATAGGAAACGGACTTCCTTCTTTAAACTACCTCGGTTTGGATAAACTGTATCAAGCCCGCAAGCATGTGCGAGACATAGCACCGCGTTGACAGCGTTCTGAATCACAGGCAAATTCATTTCAACATACAACCCATCACAGGTCTGCTTCTAAATTTATTCCTCTCCTACTAGTACGACTTACACTGTAGGTCCACATAACTTCCAATTTGTCATAAACATACATCTATTTTTGGTTGTTTATTAAAACATCCAAACATACAAGCGCTGGTCTTCCAAACACACGGTAAAACGCTGGCCGATTAGAGGCTTTAACTTAGAACACTGCTAAGCAGCACACACAAATTATATAATTCATTACTCTAATTAAGGGAAGATTCAACTCGAGTAATGCTTGCTACCATTCAGTCCAGAACCTTTCGTCTTCTCGTCTGCTGTCCAAAAACATAAAAATTAGAATCTACAAAACTATAATTTTGCCTGTGGTTCTGTATGGGTGTGAAACTTCGTCTCTGACACTAAGGGAGGAACACAGACTGAGCATGTTTGAGAACAGGGTGTTGGGGGAGAATATCTGGACCGAAGAGAGATGCAGAGACAGGAGGTAGGAAAAAACTGCATAATGAGGAGCTTCATAACTTGTACTCTTCTCCAAGTATAATTAGAATGATCGAGTCAAAGAGGATGAGGTGGGCGGGGAATATAGCACGAATGGGGGAGACGAGGAATGCGCATAGGATATTGGTGGGAATGCCAGAAGAAGAGAGACCACTAGGAAGTACAAGACGTCGGTTGGTGGATATTATTAAAATTGATTTTAGACATAGGATGGGATGGATCGATCTGGCTCAGGATAGGGACCAGTGGAGCCCTCTTGTGAACAAGGCAATGAACCTTCGGGTTCCATAAAATTTTGGGACGTTCTTGAATAACTGCGCAATTTGCGGCTTCTCAAGAAGGGCTCAGCTACACTTACTCACAGCTATTTGAATGTTCTGGCCTTCGCAGCATACTGTATCGTTTAGTTCGGCCCGTCTGCCTAAACGACTAAGCATCCCTGGTGTACAGGAACAACAGGCAGGACGGTGATCGTTAATTCCGTGTTATGATTCGAGGAATCGGAACTCGGGTCCGTATTCCGAAGCATTAAATTTCTTCACCAACAGAGTAGCTTACGAACGATTCAATGAATACTATGCACAATGGACTTAATACGACTTTCGGGTCTAAAACCACTTCACAAGCGAATAACTTTGGCAGTAACATTCCTCTGCCTGACCATATGCAATACCACACCACTTACCAATTATAGTATAAACATTTGCAATAATACAAAAAAGGGGCTTGAAACCAAGGACATAGCAAGATCCTCACAGAAGGTGAACATCATGAAATTATTTTAATATATTGTCACGTGTTGGGTATGTGACGCGACAAATAACTTTATGCCGTCCTGGATGTAGCGAATTTATTGAACACTCGCTCTTACACTTACACAATTTACAGTGTCCCAATTACTGCCATCTGCAGTATCACAATTACTCCTCCTGCTGTGGTCACTGCCATTCGCTAGATACAACTTAACAACTCGTGGCTGCTGGACTTCACCTCATTACTTCGAAGGCTTGGTCAACCTTAAACTTTAATACGGTACAGGTTTAGGCTGGAACATTTTTTATTCCGTGGTTCATACTGATGATCCCATACGCTTTGGCGTATCACATCGTCTGAAGATTTCGACACAAATCTCGGAATAAAGTTCTGCCTGCATATACGTTCAGATTCCTTCTGTGACAATCCATTTAGGCTTACAACATTAGTTTTACCACCCAAATCATCAATATTAATTCAGAACATGCCTCAATCCTGACTACCCTCAGAGATTATGAATTCCATATTCTGATGGACATCAATATTGAATGCTTAAAATGATATTAATACCTTTCACTGCATTACTCCATTGTGTAAAAGTAGTTACCAACCTTGTTTCGGAAACTCTATTAATAACAAATTAACGAGAAAACGACAGGCGAACGAATATCTACATATTAGAGTGGTTATGTAGCGTCGACAACGATATTACGAAATTTTGACACTGTGAATAAAAAGAGGGCCGGTCACGGTAGCCGAGCGGTCTAAGGCATGCATTGTCTTCGCTCGCTCGGAAGTCGGGATCGTGGGTTCGAATTCCACTCAGGGCATGGATGTTTGTGTGCGTTTTTCTGTGTCTACAGGTAGAGGCCTTGCGACGAGTGATCACTCGCCCTAGGAGTCCTACCGTATGTGTAAGATCTAGAAAAACCGAAGTGAACGGAGAAGTTCATGGAGGTAGGCCTAGGCCCACTGGGGCTCTAGTGCCAGGGGGGGGGGAATAAAGAGAGGAGGTAGAGGAGGAATCGCTAATCCAATGCCGTTTTGTAGTGCATGAATTCCACTCGAAATTCCAGGATGAGGTATGGCTTACCTTTTCTTGGGTACAGTCTCCACTAACTCGACGACGAATTCTCGAGCAAACTGCACGTGTGCCTCGTGATCGGATTTGTTGACGGCTACAGGTGTGGAAGCTGGATTGCTGCAGCCTCCTGCCCCACTCTGTGCAAAGAAACCAACGGTTGGCTCAGTCCAGAAAACCAGTTCTTCCTACAGATATATTGAACAAAGGTCACTACCAAAGTGGGATGTCACATACTGGATCATATGAACGAATTCGAGTCCTACGGTGCACAAGAGGGCGGCGGGTAAAGTAAAAAGACAGTAATGGCAGATCACTGTCTTCTCCAAAGGGCCCAGACGGGTTGAGGCCCACCAAGCCTCCTCTACAATGTATACCAGGGGTAAATGGGTAAAAACGCTGCAATTTCTTTCTCAACTTCGGGAAAATCACGGCCGGTGAAAGAAGACTGATACAACTGTAGATGATTCTGACGAAACGGTCACAAGAAGACTTATTTACAGTATCTACGCTACAAAAAGACCGAGATCGATGACTATGAAATCATTACTCCCCGTCGTCCTTGAAAAAATGATTAAAAGGCAAAACTTAACCTTGTTAACGTAGTGAGGGAATTGGCTTACGTGTATGAAACATGTCACTGAACACAGGACTGTCTAAATTTTATTCTCTTTCGAGATATCTGGATGTTTACGCACTTCTTGTTTTACAGATGGAGGAAATTCAATCGATCCTGAACGCAGTAAAACTGGGGGATTCGTGAATGACATACCTGACAGCAATACAGAAATACCAGTGTCAATTCAGGAAAATCGTTTATGGAGATGAGACGTATTCGCATAATTCTCGTACTACACTGCATGAGTGGCAGTACAGGAGGCCTTAAAGCTTCATTGAACAAAGGGAAATATCTGTCCATGCAAGTGGGGGTTATCCAATCAAAACATAATTAGACTGCACATGTTCTGTATGTCACGAGTAGTTATCATATGAGCCGGGATAGTGCAGTCGGTAGAGGGACTGGTTACTGGCTGGACGACCGAGGGGTCGGAGGTCGAGTCCCGGTGGGGGTCAAGCATTTTCACTTCTCCATGTCAAGACCGGCTCTAGGGTTCACCCAACCTCCTATCTAATGGGTACCAGGGGTTCCTTCCCCAGGGGTAAAGCGACCGAGGCGTGAAGCTGACCACTCACCTCCATCTAGTGCCGAGGTCAAGAAAATGTGGATCTATATATCCACTCCCCCATACGCCTTCATGTTGTAGTACTTCATTAGTGAAGCACAGGGGGCAACTTTACCTTTATGGGTAGTTATCATATGCAGTTGATTTTTTCCTTACGGTATACTACTCCCGAACACAATGTTCATTAATAACAGAAGAATGGGCGTCAGGGAGCAAGCATGTTAAAGAACGAGAAATGTTTTAAATTCAGAATGATCATGTGAAGGACAATGGTCTCAAGAATGTTTTCATAACGTCGGGCCATCGTAATTAGGATTCAAACCCGGACTATGGAATAGTTCCGTTATCATCGGACTGCGATTGAAAAAAGTAATGTATCGAGGAACGAATAAACACCATTTTAGAAAGAGAGACATTTGTCCCACGATGTCCAGCCCCTTCATCCTGCCCCCCCCCCCCTTACCAACTCAACAAAGCTTTCAGATAGCTAGCAGGATGCGCATACCGGTGTCATAAGCTAGTGACAGGGCCGCTTTAAGGTAATGGCTGGTGAAGAAACGGGCGGAAAACAGTGTAGAGTTTGTCAAAACACGGTTAAATTAGTATGTTTTTATACAACATCCAATATTAAAATTCCTGTTATAGACTTGAAAGGATTCTGACGATGGTGTATACTGTACTTCTTTTGGCTTATTTTGGATTTCACCCATCGTCTGGTATGTAAGAGACAAAAGACCACGACNGTTACTAGGTTACACATTCTACAAAACCAAATCTACACTAAAGGACTGGGTACGGCTACTTATTAAGCGATCATGACAGTCAACATTGTTCCCAATCTACTGTGGGGAAACCATCCCTTTACATGTACGGATATTGGTAAGATTAATGCATCAAAAAAATATTCGTTTCCATTATAATCACGAAGTTCACGTTATTATCACCTCAAAAACAGCACTCTTTGCAAAGACAACGATCGTCTTACTAATGTTACACCTCCTCAAGAGAACATTTTCCGGTTTTGTTAATATTATCTAAGTATACTTTCAGAAAACGTATCCAACACTCCGGCTTAAAATGTTTTGTACACGCACACCAATCTTATTCCAATAATTTTCGAACTTGAGAATAAAGATCGCAACCCAAAACAAAACACTGATATTACTTTTCTAACGTACGTTATTTGTTTCCATACTGTTATTTATATTTTGAATGTCTGACTTCATGACGACTCTTGACAAGTATCCATCTTTCCGCGCCGACAAGTCGCAAAACACCTTGCTCTAAATTTAGCACTTGGTAAAACGCAGTTATGCTAATCTTAGATGGCAGATGTCATAATGAAAATTCACAGTTTCTTCCCACAAACAATCTTAATTCCCTAAGAAATAAGTCAAAGGCAAGTAGTAAGTTAACTGACCTTTGCAGGTTTTCGTTGTAAAATCTTCGAAAGGAAGTCCATGCCCAATGTACTAATCACCGCGGGTTGGACACACACAAATTAGCAACTGACTGACACATCTTCTAGAGACAGCTGACTCCGGCTGCGGCAGCAACAGACTGCCCCGCGAATCGCTGCCAGCTTACTAAATATAACACAGCATCAGGCACAAGCCAAAACGTTCGCCCTATGACAAGATATCCTAATCTATTAACCACGATAAACCCGGAGTTTCTGACAAACTCACACTATATCGGCATTCTATGTTGGCACACCTGCAATTCACCTGTTATGGTATCAAACTCGCATGGCAGAGGTGCATACCCATGAATGGATAAGGACAGCCACTTACACGGCCGAGCCACAACCAACAACTGACAATGAGGTTCATGTGGAGTCACTGAACAGCCAGTCCTCGTAGCGTTCATGGATCCGCAACCCCCACATTTACAAATGTCGCTCACTTAGGAGCCTATCATATGCAGCCATGGTTTTAAGATGGCTCAAATCCACCACAAAAAATATGAACACCTGAAAGGAAAGTATACAGCATAATCAACCAACTCTCCGGTAGCAGAACCCGACGGCTCAAAACTGATATTACCGAAGCCAGCAAAAGGACACAAACAAAGTTACATATACCATACTTAGAAAACATCTTCGTATGATCCGCCTCAATGTAATCACCTTTGCGGTCTAGTATTATAGCACTTTCCATGAAGTCATTTTAGTAAGATTCTGCATTCATTTGTGTCGCGCATACGGCTCGCACGTCTAGCCTGAAATAATTTCCGCGCCGTACTAATGATCAAAAGATCCGCAAGCCTTACCGCAAGCCTTATCTTTTAAGAGTCTTGCAGTGTGCCGATTAATGTATAATTCTGATCAAATCAAAAACAATGTAATGGGAGAGCATGTCTCGGGGAAACAAGCCTTGGATATAACCCAGTAAGTTTCGTTCCGCAAACTTTTTGGAGAAAAAAAAAAAAACCCACCAAGCACTGGATGTTGCGGTCGAATACGTAACTTTCCTGCTTCGTGAACGAGGTCTCGGATTCGAATCTCAGCCCGAGGAGGGCCTATCCGGTCTCAGGGTTGGAATATTATTCTACGGAAGCTTTCTCCGCCAACTTTTCCAATTCATTATTCATTGATTATCCTACTTCTGGACGCTAAACAGTCCAACCTACTGACAGATTCGTTAAATAAATGAAGAAATATACGAGGAGTAGATGGGAGAGTAGTTTCCTGTGCCACTGCTTCCACAATGGAAACAATTTCTGTGAAGGTTATGTAAAGATAAGCGATGTAAACTAAGAGGTCTATATGATTATGTTTCGTCACCGCAATGCAGGACAAAACAATATACGAATAGCTAATAAACCCTTCGAACATGCAGAAACGTTCAAATAACTTCTGGTAATGGCAGTAACAACAAGATCACATTCCGGAAGAAGTTATGAACAGATTAAACTTGCGGAATGCCTGCTACTATTTGGTTCGCATTCTCTTTAGCTTCATGTTTCATAATTAAAAACATGAAGATTAAAAGACCACAACTGCTCTTGTTTAAGTAGGTGTTGACATTTGGTCTCTCACGAAGAGAATGATGTTTGGACATAAGAGAGAGGATTATAAATAAAATCTACATAAAAAGCCTTAAAATTTGTGATCACAAGAAGGACTGAAATGGGTGTGACATGTAGCATGCAAACAAACAAAAAACAAAAACTCCGTGATCTAAGTCCGCAAGCGAACTATACCGACCGAGCGACCGCCGCTTGTCGGCGAAGTTTAGTGGCAACTTTTGCGGATAGAGGGTGTCGCGTGGTCAGCGCAACGAATCCCCACGGCCGTTAATTTTGGTTTTCTAGACCGGAGACGCTATTTCCTTGAAATAGCTCCTCAATTATAATCACGAGGCTGAGTGGACCCCGTTCCAGACCCACTACTTCTCAGAAAAAAATCTGGTAGCGCCGGGAACCGAACCCGGACCTCTGGATCCGTAGCCAGGAACGCTGACCACTAGAGGCGGTCCGATACTCATATTACAACGGATCTTAAATAACTAGGGCGTATGTGAATAGAATTCGGCCGGCCCTGGATATGGCCCAGCGCAGGATCTCGTGAACATCGGGGCTCCATAAATTTCTGAGAATGTCTTGACCAACTGAGCGAATATCACATCTCAAGGGTCATGCACCATGGCAGTTGTTTGTGTGTGTGTGTGTTTAGAAATAACTTTCACTGAACAATTTTCTCAAGTAACCGTTCTATTTGTAAAAAGAAACATGAAGTACCTATACATATAGTAGAGTATAAATCTCCGTTCACTTTCCCAACTTAAAATGTAAACTATGGAATACTTTTCTTTATGCCCGAATGTCTTGAATTCTCTTGACACGTGCCAGAGTTGGTGATCCTGATCTATGAGCTGCAGGTAACCGTACCAATTGAGCAACAGTACTGCCCTATAAAACAAAGACACGGTGTCTGGATCCGATACAAATTTCTA